TTTTTTTCCCCCAAAAAAAAACCCAAAAACCTTGTTCCTTGAGGGTGCCCCCCTTTTTCCCGGAAAGGTGTCTTTTTTTTTTTCCAAAATTTCCCCCGGTCCCCAAAATTCCCACAAAAGACCCTGGCCCCCCCCTTTTTTTTTTAAAACCCTCCCGGGGGAGGAGGAAAAAAAAAAAACAGGGGGAAAAAGGCAAACCTTTTTTTCACCCTTTCACCCATTCACCACCCTTACAAAAAAAAACGGCAACACCACCAAAACCCCCCCCGGGGCCCTTAAAAAAAAACCCCCCCCTTTTTTTTTCCCCCCCCCCCAAACCCCCCCCAAGGGGGGGGATTTAGGAAGGGGGGGGTTGGGGGGGGGGGGGGCGTGCTGCAGATGGAGAGACCGTCCTACACTACTGATGGATGTCAGGCCCAACAACTATAAATACTTGGTTCATCCAACCCCCATTTCTATCTTCTGGCCAGGCAGGGGTCGCTTGCACAGCGAGCGACTCACTTCCCCTCCAGCTCGCCAGCGGTATCCTGTTCCAGCGAACCAGAACTCTGCCCGTTGCCGGTGCCGCTATCGCCGGCGCCGACAGCCGGCGAAGCCGCGGCCGCAGGCCCCTGCGTCGCCAGGCAGAGCCGGTCCTTGCTCGCTCGTCTCGTGAGGCCGAACAAGGCGCCTCTGGTCGACTCGAGAGCTAGGAAGCACCATGCCTCTCGAGAGCGGTAAAACTCGGCGACCTTTTGGTGTGTTGTTGAATTTTCCAGGGCCAAGGAAGCAGCGGTGGGTCGTGATGGCGGTGGTGATGGTCGTCGTCGCCGTTGTAGGTGGTGGTGGTGGTGGTGAGAGTGGCGGTGGTGGTAGTGGTGATATCCGCGATGGTGTGGATGGAATCCGAGTCGCGTGGCGGCGGACCGGGGCAAGCACAACGTGCATAGGAAGTATCACGATCGGCGCGCGCACATGGGGTTGGGGGGGGGGGGGGTAGGCGGGGGAGGAAGGGAGGGAGGGAGAGAGGGAGGGAACCGAGAGGTCGTTACAAGGGCGTGCGCGGCATAGGAGCCAACGGATTCGGATCTAGGGGGGCATTAAGGTCCTCTTACGGTGCCTAGCGGAACCAGGACTCACGGTTCTTCCTGCCTTGGCAACAGCACTACAAAAGGACAAAGGTCTGGGCGACACGTGCAGACGCGTCCATCGGAAGTGCAACATACCAATAGTGGGTTGATGGTCTATCCGGTGTCACCGAACTGTTTCTTGGGATGTCTTGATGTGGACTAATTTGGCCAATGTTTTGCGACGCGACCGTTTTCTTTCGCCGTGCTCCCGTTTTTCTCTATCCATATTTCGTCCCGCCTGGTGTCTAGATCATGTCGGGGTATCCGGCGAACTCTCGGCATTTGATTTTCGAGCCGGGAGGTTGCTGCTCTAGTCTAGATTGATCGTGTTCGATTTTGGTTCCGCCGCCGGCCGCGCTACAGGGCAATGGGGTTTCTAGAGAGGTTGCTGTTAGGTCTAGGGTCGAAAAGACGCACACAAGCACACACAGGGACAGTTGCAGCAAACATTCGTCGACAAAACAAAAAAAAGAACGCAACAAGGTCACCCAAAAGCAAAGGCAAACAAATCAATTTTTGAAACAAACCAAAAACCTATTATATCCTTCCGGTGGCAGCAGAGGCTGGCTGTGTCGAGGTGGCAGTGCCGCGGGTAGCGTCTTGGACGACGGGCTGCTGGGTTGTGACCGCACCCGGATTGCCCCCCTCATCCCCTTGCTGTCGCGCCGGTACAAGCGAGAGATGGGGTGCCAGGGGCAACGACTTGCCACGCCGCGTGAAAAAAATCGTTCGGGCGATCATTTCACGCCGCGTGTACGACTCGCCCCGCCTCGCCGTTATCTCTGGGCCTCTTGTCTCCCTTCTCTCTCCCTGTCGGGGCTTCATCCGCCGCACAATCGCCATATCCAGACCATCCCCAGCCGCCGTTATCTAGAACAGGTGAAGGCGCCGCGATTTCCGCCGCTCCTCCCCTACAAGCCCGATCGGCTGCCCCACGTGTCCGCCCCCCCGCCCCAACCCCCACCTCCCACCCCCACTCGTCCCGCAGTTGAATGGAGCAAGTCGCGGAGTAACCCTCCTTTTCTATGCGCGACGACGATGAAAACAACAACAAATAACCGGAGGTAGTGGCTAGAGGGGGGGGGCGCGGGGGCGGGCGGCGGCAGGGGTTGTGGCTAGAGGCGGCGGCAGCGGCAGAGCGGCCGAGCGACGAATCAACAGCACGCTCTCTTCCCTCCGCGCTCGGTAAATGTTTCGTGCGACGCGGTCATAAGGCCATCGGTGAGTTGAAACGTACCCTGCCTGGCGTATGGACAACAGACCAAGGAAAGGCGAAGGAGGCGTAATCCTGCCGTGTCTAGACCAAAACTCTAGAGATGAGGCAACCCACGCCAACCGCGCAATGCTAATCTCGAGCAAGTGCAGATTTGGTGCACAAGGGTAAGGAGAGACACCCCAACGAGTTTTCTAGAGAGAGGAGAAAAATCGTGCGCAGGGGGGCCGGGGAGGGGCATATGACCCATCGAAAAAAAAGCCTACGAATTGAAACTTGAAAGCCGGGCCACGCGACACCCCAAAAAAAGTGCTTATCCCACCACATTTTGTACCTGGAACCCCTGAATTTTTTCACCAACGTTTATAGAGAAACAAGCAATTTCTTGCCAATCGGGGTGAAGGCCGCGCGGCGGCTGGGGAACGCTCACGGATTTATCCCCGGAAACAGGCACTTGTAGTGTCTGCAAGTTCGAGCGATCCTCGCGGGGGAAGATTACGCAGCTTGTCGCGCGGAGGAGGAAAGGAGAGGGGGGGGGGGGGGGGTTCAATCACATCACAGACAGCGGCGGCGACCTTTTCGATCAAGTCAAAAGACAGGAAGGGCTGCTGGCCGAGCTGGCAGTGCCTTCTTCTGCTGTTGCTGCGGTGGGTCTAGCGGGTGGTGGGAAAAACAAACACATGAACAAAACCCGGCCGTCTACGCCGCCAGCCAACGACACAAACTCATCCCCAAACCATCTCTCGACGGCATCAACACCGGGGAACACATACGGAAGATGTGGGACGGGAAAAACGGCCGACGGCAGGGTACTAGGTGTCAAGCGCGGCAGCCAACGCGTTTAGGGGGGCAGCGGGCACAAACTCAACGATTGGTGCTGTACCTTTTCCTTCTCGATCTCGAGCCTTGTTAAGAACTCCTCTCTGCCTCGCTCCTGCTCCTGCTGGTGCTGCTGGTGGGTCAGTCCCTGACCCCCGCCGCCGCCCGCGACTAGGCTCCTCCTAAGCTTCTTGGCGATCTGCTTAAGGGCCTTGTAGTTGACGCTACCTCTCAGCTGGTCCGGCGACAGCTCCGTCCTGATCTTCTTTCCGAACTTCATCCAGGTGCCGGTCTTGGCAAACCGGCGCGTTTTTTTATGCGGTGGGTGGCGGGATTCCCTCTCCTATTCCTGGAACAACGTGGATACAGGACCAGAGCACAACTACCGCTCGCGAAAGACGACGAGCAAATAGCGCACGCGTAGTCGCAACTTCCTCCTTTCGTCCGATGTTGCCGGCTGGTCGTCCTCCCTTCTGTCTCTCTGCTTTTCTCCCCTGCTGCCTGCCTCAACACGCGCACCAGAGCGCGCCACACGACACACGCGTACATACAAACGTTTACTTGCCAAACACAAGAAGGATAAGACAGCGCCGACCGCGGTAACCGTCTGGCCAATGAAAAGACGCCGAGCTCACACAGCGGGACACGAAAAACGCCAACACGCTTTCTATGCATGGAGTGAGTGTGGAAGTAGATATGTAGCGTCGTCCGCGCTACCCGCCGACCAATGACATAGCTGTTGCGCGCCTCGAAAGTGGGTGGAGAAGGATGGCTACATGCACAGGTTCAATTCATGAATCGTTGTGCGTGGTAGTTTGTCCGCGCTTACGACGCAAAAGATGCACACAACACATCCACCATACATGAGTTGACCTGACCGTCAACAGCAGTCGTTGTTGTTGTTGTTGTTGTCTTCACATTCAACACCGTTCCGGTCTCCGCTCAGTACCTTCTAATGTCCGTAATGCAGAACAACCTGCCATTCTGTGTAGACTTTAGCCTAGCAACAGAGACACGGTACACAACGCCGTGCGCCGTCGGAAATCGTTGGCTGCATGTCACGTGAAAACGTCCAAAATTAAGAACGAAAAGACAAAAAAAACTCTCCGACGCTGTCGCGGCTCATGTGAGACGCTTTTGTTTGCTAGCAGGAGCATTTCGTTCTACTCCTCATCACGCCGCTTCTCTTCGAAGAGACGAGTCAACACCCACCCAGTCTCATATTCTTACGCAACGATCTCTTCCACAGAAAAGAGTCTGTGATACCATGCATACTATCGTACGCAGATGTTAACGCATGTACGAAACAACGGGGGTACGTGAATGAAACAGAGCTCGCTCACACACTTCAACTTGTCCCGTGGTTGGCTTGAGGAGAGAAAAAAAATTGGGTTGCCGCACGTTCATGAGTAAACATCCACCAGTCTCTCTTTTCGAATAACATGGTTACTCGAAGCAAGTACCTGCCTGCTGGTCGCACGCACGGGGCGCACACAAACTTCAACCCGTTCCCAGTGGCTGGCTTGCGGACAGAACAATTTAGGTTGCCGCAGGTGAACAAAAGGTGGTACTAGTATACACGGCTTTTCGCTCGGCGAGGACAGACTGGAGGTGCCATCGCCCCGAAAGCCCACGTCGTTCTTGGCGCATAGAAGCGGTGGTATATAACAAGATGACAGATGTATGCGGCGACGATGTCGCGTGCTTGGAACCATGAGCTAATTCTCCTGCATGTAGGTAGGTGGCTAGGAGGACTTGAGCACTATTTACTTTTTACAGCAGTAGCAGAAACTCAACAGACGCGTCCTAAAACTTAAGAACTACAGAGGGCAGAGACTGCTGCAGTCTTCTAGCATTAAAAATCTAAGACAAAGCACCGCAGGAGGGGTTACTAGGGGGGCTCAGGGAGAGGAACCCTTCTGTGAGAGCACGGGGTGGAGTAAA